ATAAAACAATTACGCATCTTTAAATTTACATTACGTTAATACCGGTCTATTGTTCTTTTGTTTAGTTATTAAATGCATTCAGCCTTCTTTTCATATCATCTATATAGAACCAATAAATGATGTGAGTGTGTCATATTTTTGCTTTTACAGGTTCTTTTGAACTGATTCCATTCTCTTTTAATTGTTTTGAATACAGTTAACCATCATCACAATTCTCTATTAACTGTCTCTTCACATTTATACGTATCCCCAAGGGGGGGTGTACTCGCATGAAACTGTGTTTCTTGAACTCATGGCGAAATGCGAAGGTTGTGATTATTAATATCGTGATTTATCAAACCTAGTTCTTGATGAATCTCGATTGATATCTTTCATTTGTGACCATGGGTTAATTAAGAACACTTGCAAATGTTCAAAATGAGGAAGAGACTTACATATTACGAAAAATAACTTTCAATGTAATACACGATCCTACGATTATGTCCACAGACGCCGTACAATTAATCGGTGTTGTTTCAACTTGTCTGTCTCTAAAGGGACTTGGTTCGCTTAAACAAGAGTTAGTGTTGTTGATGTTTTGTTTATCTCGCTGAATCCATCTTCAAAAGACTTTTCCTAAATGACAGCAAGCGTTTCCACGAATTCTTCCTCACCATAGCTGATGTATATAAACCTCAATACAGTATTAAGGTAAGTTATTTAAGTTTTCCATTTCTGTGTTTAATATCATGTTATTAGCATATTAGAAAATGCATAGAACCTAATAGAACCTCACCTAACAAACCCTGGGTATATTAGGTTAGGTAACAAACCCAGGGTATGTTAGGTCAGGTTCTATGCATTGTCATTTCCATATTTGTATTTAACATCATGATATTAGTGTGTATTCTCTGTTTGATAATGCCTAGAACCTAATATAACATGACCTAACATACCCAACCTATGGGTATGTTAGGTCAGGTTCTATAAAGTTCTGTGGATTGTTGTTTCCATTTTTTAGTTTAATATCATGATCTTGGTGTGGAGAAAAAATTTAAACCAATTCGCACAATTCCATCTGGTGGTAGCCATTGTCTACACCTTTACCATTTCAACAATTGTAAAACACTTTTCTTCTATGACATTTCCCTCGCAAATGACTTGTATGTGCCAGGGGTTCTGGTTCGGAGGTTTGATTAAGTCATACACGAGGAAACGTCAGAGAAGAAAAAGTGTCTTAGAATTGTTTAAACTATTAATTGCAAAGATAAAATTCCTAAGATTCCCCTGTTGTCCGAAAGCAAAAATTTACCCAGTTGATAACTTTACGTGTGGTTGAAGGTACAGTATAATATTAGTCACGATGTAGATGATTAAAGTTGTCAGCAACTGATTTGTAAATACAACACTACCTTCTCTTCTGTATAGGTACAAATATGCTTGTCCTGGTGTCAATATTCTGTTCATTTTATCGTTCACTTAAAAAGGGGAAAAAAGGATAAAACATATACAGCGTAATGGTTACCTAAAGCATTAACTCTTAGACTATGATAGCTTAACTCCCTGAAGACAGTGACACACCATCTGAGGACAGTGACACTTTTGGCTATTTTACATCGATCATTCTTTCATATCTAGGATGCATAATTTTAAAGTGCATTATGCAAGGTGTTATAGAAGCCCCTGTTCACCTGCAGTAATTAAAAATGCAGTAATACAGGTACCTCTGTTAGCCAGAATTGAAATTTGCTCAGAAATTTTCTGGAAATTTCCGGAACTCTAAAAAAAATCCAGTCGTGAACCTGGAAAATTCCAAGCTAATTCCAAGGCTAAAATAATGCGGCATTTTAGAAAATTGTGGAAGCTTACCCCAGCTATTTTTTCCGGGTCTGGGAGCAAATTCTAAAGGATGAAATAATGCGCAATTCTCAGAAAATTCAGAGAATCTTTTCCCAGTACCCGGTACATACCCAGAAAAATTCCAGGGTGAGGGATTTTCTACAGGTTTGAGAGATTCGTCTCGTTACCCGGAAGAAGTCCGCACCTATTATTCCGGCTAACAGGGATATCACTTGTAATTATTTACCTTTTTCTACTTAGAGTAAATATTGTAAATGGTTACAGTAAAGGTTGGAAGTGGATATCATTTCCAATATTTACTGTAATTAGAAGAAGGTATATAACCATGTTGGTATAACAAGGAACAACTACAGTATAGTGTTAATTATTACAGGTGTACAAGGACTTACAACACACCTGTATATTAGTTCAGTTGGAGTACAACTGTTTTAAAGTTAGACTACAGTGTTGTTCATGTGTTTGTCTTTAATGATATTTATTTAGTTGTCATTTAGAGTGTTTCATGGGTAAGTAGACCTCTGCATTGCCTTCAGGTGTTCAGTGATTAGTAATGGTGGTCCTCCATTCTAAATGTTTTTAGGCTGTCTTTACTACTTCTTCCATATTATGTATCTCATCTGTCATCTAACACTTAATTTAATTCATCCAGCCCCATATCGTCCCACGTCCCTCATACCCAATTTTTTATCCACTAATATTGCCTCCATCATCACATACCAATAATTATTATTTCTTTTGCAATGACTAACAGAGATCTGAAGACCTCCTGAGGCAAGAGGCTAATTTTTATGAGAGCGTAGAAGATTCAAAGCAAGGTATTGGTGGTGATGCTGAGGTGTCAAGTGTTCTGTCTGCCTATAAGAGTGAGGGAGACCCAGCAGAGTATGAGGATGCCTACAAGGGTCTTCAAGCCTTTATTGAGAAGAGTTTGGATGCTTATAAGGTCAGTATATTTCTGTGTACAGTTACTTTATAATGTTGGTACATGTTAATTCAGTAGTACAGCATGTCCTTCAAATTTGCGGACCTCGATTATTATTCGCGGATGACACCCTGGATGTACCCAAGAATGTCTAATGGTAGTTTTAAAGTACAGAGTAGCTGGCATTTTTGCGGCCGGGACAGGGAGCCATTCGTTCTAGAAACAGTAATTTCTGTGCTTTGTTATTAATAAAGCACTGGGTGGACTTGAGGGTAGACTCAACATTTTTAAAGCATTTGTTTCTGATTATTTGTGAGTGGATTTTCCCATTATTATTTATTTGTATGTGTTTTGTGTGTGTGTGTGTGTGTGTCGACACCATTGGGATCAGCGTCAACAATTCTGCTCCCAACTATACCGCCCTTCAGGATTTATTGAACAGTCTCCAAAACTGGGCCACCAACAACCATGTCACCATCAACCATACCAAGACCATGGTTATGCACATCAACCTCTCCTCCGACATTGTCCCACCTCCTTCCATTACCCTAGGTCCGAACACACTCCAGGTTGTAGATTCCACGAAGCTCCTTGGCGTCACCATAGACAACAAACTAAATTGGAAACCACACGTCAGTGAAGCTGTCAAAGCCTCCAGTTTCCGTCTCCACCTGCTCCGCCGACTCAAGTCCCTCGGAGTTCCTGCACACGAGCTCCTCAGTGTATACACAACATTCATACTTCCCAAGCTCACCTATGCCTCCCCCACCTGGTCTTCCTCCCTAAATGCCACACAACGTAAACACCTAGAAAAAGTGCAAAAGAGGGCATGCAAGAATTATTCTCTCCCCTTCCTACTCCACATATCAAGAAGCGCTCAACACACTGACCCTTTCGACTCTCACTGACCATCACCACGACCTCATCTGCAAATTTGGTAAGAAGCTTCTACACCATCCCCGACACCGGCTCCTACTACCACCTGACATCCCCTGTCCGAGAATTGCTGTTCGACACCACAACCGCATCCAGCCCATACGTGCACGAACTGATCGCTATAAGAACAGCCCAGTCCCAACCATTGTAAAAATTATCAATAACATGTAATAAATCAGTGTATTCACTCCCGGTAAACACTGCTCCTTACACTGTCACTATGTTGAAATGAACTGTAGTTTGAGCTGATCCCCATCTAGTTATTATATGTCTTATTTGTGTCACTTATGTTACTTGTATATTATTTGTTATTCGTAACCCATTCCCCAAATATGTAACTGTATATTTTCAGCCTTCTGGCTGCCAAGCTCTTTCAATAAACCGTTAATTATTATTATTATTATTATTATTATTATTATATACTATACAGGTAAACTAAATAATTGTGCTAAGGGCAAACACATAAAAGGAATATACATTTCTTTGTCCACAAGTAACACCCCCACCCCACCTCGGTCAGAAAATGGTATTCGTGGATTTGGCGATCCGCAGCCATTTTGAGAACCTAACCCCCGTGAATTTGAAGGGCATGCTGTATATGCTTCCAGACACTTTATTTGTAGTACTGTACACTGTAAAAAACTAATCGTCTAACGAAATGACATCTTCATTTTAATTGATAGATCCTTAATTGCCGCAATCACATATCTTTTCATACTAAGACAACAGTTTCCCTAATTCAGTTATGAAAATTTTCGTCCCATGCTTCAGCTTACTGTACGTACGATAAAAACTCAAGTTACAATTTGTGTTCACTATTTTCGTGATTTTGTCCTAAATAATAATGAAAATATGTAACATAATAAAAAAAATAGTACCAGGAAGCTTATTTCACAAACATAATATTTATTCCAGCATGAAGTATCCCAGGTACTATACCCAGTCTTCGTACACATGTATTTAGAACTGGTTTTTAATGGTCATGAGGAGGTGGCCAAATCATTCCTACAGAAAATGGGTAATGTGCAAGAACACTGCTATCGTGAGGACATTCACAAACTCTCTCTGGTAACTACACGGGACCATATGACAGGATACCAGATTATGGATAACTTCCGGTGAGTGCAGATGTGTTCATTAGCTACTTCAGTTTGAATTAGTTTCCACCTTTTTATCTTTTTTAATTCTGTTGTCACCATTTCTTCATGTAGTAGTTACATACTCCTCCAAATACCAGACTAATTCATGCAAGCACTATCCCTTATTGATAGGTTCTCATCATGTATATATAAAATAATACAGTAGATAAAAATTTTCAACTATTATGGTAGTGAGTAATGTATAATACAGGCTACTGTATATAGAAATTCAGCCTGCCTTAATTCTGGGGCTTCAGTACTTGCAGTTCTTAATGTTATCCTGGCATAAAGGTGGCGATGTAGAACAGAGATGATGGCCACAGATCTATATTTATTGTGATATGATACTGTACTGTACAGGGGGGGGGGGGGATAAGAATTTGGATGCATTACTTATACCAGTACTCTGTTGTTTTCCCCAGGTCGAACCAATTCACAGTGAGGATGTCCCGTGATACTTATTCCCATTTAAAGCGATACTTGACAGAATTTGGCGGAGGACCAGTGCCTCGCATTATTCACGACAGATTGTACCTGGACGTGTACGAAGGTGTTCCTCGAACCCGAACACAGGTGTTGGCAACTGCTGGAGCACAAGAGGGAGAGGCACCAAAGCAAGGTAAATGAAATGTTATTTTGTGTGTGTGTGGACAGATGAAAACAGGGTTTATCTCAATATATCTTGAGCTGTGCTGGCTTTTGAACCAACTCTGGGATTAGGACTGAAACCCATATTCATTCCTGGTTCAGCGGAGAGTAGCTGCTATGTAGTGATTTATACTGATCTGTGCAGCAGTATAAATTGTTGCTGGACAAGTCAAACCCCCCAGAACAAAGCAGAATCTTCCAGGAGATCTTCTATGTGTAGTTGGAGAAATCTCATGAGTCACTTGTTTTGTTTCATTAGTTATAAAAATATGATCTTGTGCTTAGTCCGCCATGTTGACAAGAACAGCCTTTTGAATGTTGTAAATTTTTTTGTATTGGGTTCAGATCTCTTGTATACATTTAGTTCACATTGTTGGAGGGGCAGGGGGAGCGGCTGGTGGTGCAGGGTAGGGGCCATACTTCTGCACTGTAATGCACTCACCCCCATTTTAGTTACACATTGTACCTTTGTTTTTTCTTCTCCAGTTAATAAAACCAAGATATTTTATGGTCTGCTCAAGGAACCAGAACTGCCTAACCTCCCAATGGAAGAGGAAGAAGGAGAGGAAGAAGGGGATAAACCAAAGAAGAAGAAGCCAAAAAAAGATGCACTTCAAAAGAGCAAGAAGAATGACCCAAATGCTCCACCCAGCAACAGAATACCATTGCCAGAACTGTAAGTCTTTTAACAGTGCAAATAATTTGGTTTTATTTAAGTTGAGTTTATTGTTTGCTGTATCTGATAGTTCTACAATCTTCATTGTTCTTTCCATTAACTTTTAAATAGAGAATGTAAGCCAAATAAGTTGATAAAGTTGTCTGGTATGAGTTCACAATACGTATTTAAGTGGTTTTGTTCTTTGATGAGATCCTCTGAGGGGCAGTAAGGTGCATAGAATTGAGTTAGAAGTGCCCAGTAATCCTTAAAATAGTAGGGAGCCAGGATTTGATTTCTTATTTCATCAAAGCCATCATCAGACAGAAAATGTCCACCACATGATGCTAAGGAGTCTCATGGAAACCTGGTGAGAAGTTTATATGCCTCTGAGTGCAGTGTCAGATAACAATTCTATGTATTTACCCCACATCTAGTGACAGTGCCATCTGCAGCTTGAATAGTAGATGATACATTATTGATTTGTAAGAGTTTTGAAGTTTGTTATGACAAGAGTTAAATGTTGCTCCACCAAAACATTTTAGCAGCTGCTCCTAGTGTGCAGTAAAGGATCAGTTTGTTTGGGGGTTCAATGTGGAGAGAAGTGTTAGGAAAAGTATCTATTCTAAGTAGTCCAGTGTCTGTTCTCTAACATAGGCCATATCTTCAAACTTTCAGGCGTGAGATTGACTACTTGGAAAAGGCCAAAGCTTTCAGGGATGCACTGAAGAGAGTGGTGCTAAGTAAGGACACACTTCCATCAATATGTTTTTACACCTTTTTGAATGCTTCAGGGAAGTAAGTAGCTTATTGCTTATGTTAAGATTAAGATGAGGGTTAGATCACATGATGAAAAATTATATTTGTACAAGTGTGTTTTAAGACACACTTATGTTACTCTCGGGATCTTGAATTGCTGTTTGGCATTTACATGCAGTATAGATAGATATAAGTATATTTTTGTATTCGCGTATATTATAAGATAGCAGGAGTGTAATAGCATTGAGGTTAATGCATTAATTATTGAGTTAAAAGAACATAAAATATAACCCCACTAGCCACCCCCAAACAGGAACACTATCTTTTAGAAAGTATCACATGTTTTCTTCATTTAGACCAGCGGTTCCCAACCTCAGGTCGCGACCCAAACCAGGGTCGCGGGGTGTCCTCAATAGTACTTATCATAAAGTCAAACAAATTTTTGCTTAACATTCAAGCTATATAATATATTATATGCCTGAGGGTCATGACACCGTGTTGTTGGGAAATTTGGGGTCACAGCAAAAAAGGGTTGGGAACCACTTATTTAGACCAACAAAATTTAGAGAACTTTGCCAGTGATGTTAAGGGGTATCAAATAACTTTACTAAAAGATGATGACTGTGTGTAATAGTAATCTGTTACAACAACTCCTAGTTTAAGCTGCTCCAATTTCACTTCACTTGCTATGACTTAACAGAAAATACTTAAGATTTTCTATCAAACTTAGCATAAATGTAGGGGGGGGGGGTGAAAGGACATTTGTGAGTACTGTACAGTGGTCCCTCGGTTAACAAACGGTTCGATTAACGAAATTTTGGTTAATGAATTAGCTCCCATAAGGATTTTCAGTTTGATTAACCAACAAAACTTCGATTAACGAAATCCTTACGACAAACACGTTTTGTTGTGCGCTTCAGCTGATCGGCTTGTCCGCCAATGCAGTAATTGGTTCTATATTTGTTTACATTCATTTCCAGTGGAGTAAATATCAAGAAAGTTGGTCACTTGAATATTTCTGCATTTTTTATATTAAAATTTTTGGTCATTCTGAAATTTAGTTAACATATTGATAATATATACAGTACAGGGAACAGTTTTTGTGTGCCCTTCAGCTGATTGAATCACCCAACAACGCTTCTCAGTTTAACTTTGTTTACAGTGGAGTGAACATCGATTTTTTTGGTCTCTTGAATATTTTTGCATTTTTACATTAAAATTATTGGTCATTCTGAAATTTTGTTAACATATTGATAATATACAGTGCAGAAATTATTATGAAACACGAATATGGCATGTCATCATCAACTGCCTTTACAATCAGCTGTTTGATATGTAAACAAAGCTGCTGGTAATACGACATACACACCTCATAGTAAGTTAAAATATAGTATTCTATTGTTTTTTATTTATTATTGTACATTATACTGTACAGTACAGTACTGTATTTAGTTTATATTTAATGTTTTGTTAATTCTATTATCGGTATACAGTACTTTGTATGTATACTTTTTCTGCGAGTTGGAACCAATTACCTTATACAGTACCCCATTGAATTAATAGATTCGGTCAACGAAATTATTGGTTAACGAACGACTGTGGAACGAATTGTGTTCGTTAACCGAGGGACCACTGTACAGTAGGCTCTCGCCAATAATGACTTCCACAATAACGTTTTCGACAATAACGGTAAGTTACAATAGATACCCATTTTCGTTAATAACGTCTGGATTCTCTTGAATAACGGAAATTTCGCGGGAAGCGTCCGAGCGCATCAATGATAGCATTTGTTTGCCGCCATGTTGATGACGTAGTTGTCCACTCTGCCTCTCACTCACTGTCACACACGCTCAGTGGAATACAGCGCTGCGCCCACGTGTGAGATTTTCGCCACTATAACCGGTGGTTGTTAGGGTCGGTGATCAATAATGGCTTCCGCATTTTTGCCTGTGGGGGGCTACGGGAGGTGGTGGAGGGAGTGATTTACCACCTGAATGACTGGGAATTTTTAAAGTGAGGAAATTGAACTGTCCTGAGTCTACAGTGCGAAATATTAAGAGGAACTTAGAGGAGACGAAGAAGAGTATTGTGCTGGCTAAAAATATTTCGGTAGTGATGGAAATGCGAGGCGAGCTATGAATGATAAAGGCAATAGAAACAGGTTGTTGGTGATAACAGAGCATTTTCTTGTGAAATGGTTAGCTTGTAGAATGAAAGACAGTGCAAGTGTTAGTGGCCCTCAGATACGGAACAATCATCACACCAAGCACCTCAAAAACTAAGTGTTATATTACTCAAAGTCTTTATTTTGATGATTGAATAGCAATTCTTTTTATTTCAGCTAACAAAAAGTGTTAAGAGGGCTTCAAGGGGAAAAAAAGGGTGAAATTCTTGTGGCAGCGGCACCAATAAACCCTTTTTACATGTATTTTAATGTCACACAAATAACGTTTTCGCTAATAACGGTGTTTTTCAGGCACCTATTAAACGTTATTGGTGAGAGCGTACTGTATTTCCAATTTTAATGATACAGTCGACCCTTGTTAATTCGGACCCCTTTAATCCGGATTTTGGATAAATCGGACGAAATCTTTACTGTCCATATCAAATTTCTGGTTCTGGGATTGTCTCAGTTGCAATTGGGGTTGCAATTTCAAATTCTGTGTCACTACTAAGGAATAACAAAGCCTCTGGTGCACTCTAAGATTAAGAGAAAACGGACGACTCGGGCGTCCTGAAGTGAGAGAAAACGGACTCCTATGACGGGGCACTCAAATAAACATACACATAGCTGTATAATGCAATATTAACCCCTAAATCGGTTAATTCGGACAATCGGCTAAAACGGACACCCTTCCCCCCTATTAGTCCGTTTTAACGAGGGTCGACTGTAATATGTAAAGTGGCGGTCTGCTTGGTCCCCCCCCCCCCCACACACACACACATTACATCAAGCAAATGATTTGATATACAGTATCTTTTATAAAAATTTTCATCAAAGCAGAGCATAGAAAGACAATTTTGCTTATATGTTATTGTTGGTTAGGATGTAAAAGGCTAACTGGTGAACACTAATGAGGGACTCAAGTTGCTGTACAATACATCTTGTTTACCTGAGATCTTGTTTCAGCATCACATCAGTGGATATATCTGATGACTCCAGCATGTTAGCTTACTGTACATCAGACTCACAAGTTCGGGTGCAGAGCATCACGCCCAGTAAACTACGATGTATGAAGTCTGCTGAGCAGCTGAATGACATTGACAAAGATGCTGGTATGACTTCTAATGAAAATTTGAGGCTCAGTTTTTAGTGTATGACAAATAACACGTTGATATTTGGGGAATAATTTGCATAAACTATAATTGTCATCATCGCTTTACAACCATTTTCCATGCTTACCTACATTAGCTGTGATTACTTGATGGCAGGTCTCCATGCTGTAGTCTTTTAACTCTAATGTCATTTCTTACAACTTTTTCCCATGTCAGTCTTGGCCTACCCTTATATACAGTATTAAGGAACACTTCCTTGTAGATGATGTTCTTGTACGAATGATGGACGATAGAACAGCGGAACCAGTTCGTACTCTCCTTGGGCATTCAGGACCAGTGTATGCCTGCTGCTTCAGCCCTGACCGTAACCTGCTGCTCACAGGTGGAGAGGATGGCACAAGTTAGTGTTCCTTAAGTATTTTTTCATTGTTTGTTTATTTTTCTTTTTTAAGATGTTGCTTTAAACATGCTATGTTAAAGATAGAATTTGGCTTTTTAAGGTTATGAATGGAGGATTGATCCTATAATAATGTTTTGTTACCAAGCTGGTATAGTGCATCCTTCCCTCTACACTTTAGTGTGGAGGTGAGTAGGATCTTGGGTATTGTTTTTTGGTTTAGCTTCTATAACCTGTGAAAACTAATGCTGGGTTTGGAGCAATGTCTGTTTACACACAGTAATAGAGAAAGTAATATGAAGTGAGAACATGTTGTGAATTGCATATTTGTATTTCTCTGTGATTGCATTGAAAAGGGGCAACGTTTTGGGAAAGTGAATCTCTAGTTTCAATAGGATTGTTTTCATAGATGATAGAGATCGGCTGACTTACTTGTGAATATTGTGATAATGTCTCTTCTACGAGAAGATACATATTAGTAGATATATAACTGAATTTCTGGATCCAGGAATGTTTTTATATTTTCTGTTAAATTTATTTATTTTTATTTTTTCAGTTCGTTTATGGAGTATGCAGACATGGACGTGTCTGGTTGTCTATAAAGGTCATGTGTTTGCTGTATGGGATGTTAGTTTCTCCCCTTATGGCTACTACTTTGTCTCGGGCGGCCATGATCGAACTGGTAGATTATGGGCAACAGACCATCATCAGCCTCTTCGAATATTTGCTGGACATTTCTCTGATGTTGATGTAAGTTGATTTAGTCCCTTTTTTTATATTAAGAATGGATAAAATTATACTACTGTATTTATACACATTTGTTTTATAGTTAGGTAGCAAGTTTTAATCACTGAAAGGTAGTGTGAATTGTTAAATTCTTTGTTATAAAAGAGCTTCATTACAAGAGGATTTGTTCACGGGTTTCTGTGTGTGTGCCAAATTCTTGTGACTTGTGAACCTATGAAGTATAACATACTGAAGTTCTGTTAGTTTTGCAATTTATGTTGTTCTTTAATATTTAGTACTGTATTATTCTTTTTCCACAGGTTGTACAATTCCACCCTAATAGCAATTATGTAGCATCAGGGTCCAGTGATCGCAGCATCAGACTTTGGGATTGCCAAAGTGGAAATTGTGTGAGAGTTCTCACAGGTCATAAGGTAAGTTTTCATCACGTTGTTCACAGTTATCATAGTAATTTTCCCCAAGACATAATGGAGTGCAGCAGATGTTGAAGGATGGGGTTATTGGGAGGTTGGGAGAGAAAGAAGTATTGCCTTACCTACAGACTCATATCTTTTGTCTGAATTTCCATAACAGGAGAACTGACCTTGAATGAATCACCTTCATTCTTGGATAAATCACTGTCTTCTTGTTTAACTCCAGTCAGTGTTTCCAACAGAGCTTGGTAGAGGGATTGACTCATCTTTGATCCAAGGACAGTCTACTTGGTTTACAACTTTGGAATGTTTCACTCAGGTTTTATTCTTTTATCAGATCCTACCAGATGCATCTAGTCATATTCCTATAACTGTGCCAATTGTCCTACCTAGTTATGTTGCCTAGTAGTACTGTACATCAAAGTTAATATCATAAATTTATTTATTTTTCACAGGATGTTATTGATACTTTGGCATTTTCTCCATGTGGGCGTTTCCTGGCATCTGCTGGTGGGGATAAGCGTATTTTGGTATGGGATATGTCTCATGGCCACCTTATTGCAGAAATGGCATCACACACATCAACAATTTATACTATTGCCTTTTCAAGAGACTGTAATATTCTTGCATCGGGTAAGTTTGTTTACCTCTCAGTCCGTACAGTGTAAATATTTGGGGCTTTGTAGTACAGCATCATATAAAATGCTAGTACAGTTTGCAACCACTTTGTGTAAAAAAATAATGGAGGCGAGTAGCTTGGATATTTCTGATTGTAATAAGTTATTTTTTGTTATGATAGTACAGTATTGGCTTATTATTACCGTAGAATAAATTTTTATAAAGAATATTTTGGTTGCTTTGATTGGGACCACAATGCCACATGGAGTCTACAAACAAGAACCCAAAGATATTAGAATACGTAACTGTACATGTGTAAATACTGGGCTGGCACACTACCATACAATTGGTTTATGCTTACACATCTGATCATATAGTATTAAAAAAAAATTTTCTTGTCCATAATTTTGCATTCTTGGCAGGTAGTTCAGACAAGGTGGTCAGTACAGTGGTCCCTCGGTTAATGAGCACAATCCGTTCTAGAAGGTTGCTCGTTAACCGAAACTATTGTTTCAATGGGTTTTTGGGTAATTGGTTCCAGCTCACCGAAAATTGCCTAAATTCAACAAAAAAAAGGTAGAAAAGTACACTTACTTTGAGGTGTGTATGTAGAAGGCTCCTGGATGATGATGGGAATTAGAATGGGGGTGGAGGAGAAGGGAGAAGAGAAGGCATTGGGGAGGAAGAGAAGTCACCCCATGGTGCCATTTCACCCATAAAATTTTAGTTCTCTTGGTATAATTCAAGATTATTTTCTTTACATCAACACTGCACTGCATTATATATTGTCAATATGTAAAATAAATTTCAAAATGACCAATAGTTTGCTTGGAAACACAGAAAAAAGCATTTAGTTGAAGAGTCTCAAGCAAGATGTTACCTCCACTGAAAAGACACAAAGACTGACACCTGTATGGTGTGTTGAGAGGCTGGATGGTGTGCATAAAACTAGTTTCATTACCTTCAATTATGTTCAATAATTGTTAAAATGACTAAAATATTTAATATTAAATTTTTAAAATTATTGAATGGTATAAACTTCTTGATATTTGCTAAAATGGTAAGGAATTTAAGCCCTAAAACCGATTACTGTATTGGCGGACTAATACTACAGCTGGTGGACCGCCAAATGCAAGCGAAAACGTGTTCTGGTCGGCTCGTAAGAAACTCCTTAATCGAGGAATTGCTCGTTAACCGAAGTCAAGAATCTTATGGAAGGTAACTCGTTAACCGAGGGACCACTGTATTGCACAACTCTGTTTTAGCGAGATGGTTCTGTTGCTTTGTCATTTTTAGATAGAGATGTATCTGACAATGTTGTTATTCAACAGGTGGAATGGACAACTGTGTTAAACTGTGGGATTTCAGTCGTGTTCTTGAAGATAATCATGAAGATGATATAAATGTGTCCAACAACCCAGACATCAAACGCTGTAATGAGTCTCTGCTGCTTGGCACTTTTCCGACAAAAAATACCCCAGTGCTTGCAACACACTTTACAAGAAGAAATGTGCTACTGGCTGCTGGACCGTTCGAAGGCTAAAACATTAAAAGTAATGATAGGTATATACTGCTATATATTTTACATATTTTTTTACTTGTGATCAAGAAAAGCTTCAGACCATAATAAGTACAACAATCTCTCTCAGTATAGATGTGTGATGTTCTTTTTGGTTCATATTTATTAATTTACATTTATACTTCAAATACTGTCTTCTCATGTTCAGAACTTGTGGATTTACTTCATTTGAAGACTTCAGATTCCAAGGCAAGAAACAAGTAATTCTGTAAAAAGTTATGTTTTTTGTGATTAATGTTTACAGCCATAATTAACACTTCCAATTATTCAGTGTATTTTTCTTAGGGGAGCTGTTCTTAAATTTGAATATTCTGTTCCAAAATTTCTAAATTGTAATACTGTATTCAATATGGAAATTAACACTTACAGACATTTTATAATTACAGTCATTGCATATGGTAATTGTTATGCTCTGTATTATACAATAGACTTTCAATATTCGCAGGGGTTAGAGTCTCGAAAAAATTTCACGAATGTGGAAACTTCAGGGGTTATGTTCCTGCTATAATTTAACATGAGGGGGAAATGGTAAATGTTTAAGAACAATTATTTAAATAAACACTGCTTGTAAATAATAATAGAGAAAGTAATATATTTTTTATTTATCTTTAATTATCATGATTTGAGGTATTGTGAGTGACAAGTGCGCAAAATTTACGTTTCAGAAAGCATGCATCAAGATTTAAAAATATAAATAGCCATCCATAATGATATACAAAACAGTATTCTTTTAACCTTCCACACATTTTTCTCTTACAAGATAAGCCTGATGCACTAAGCTGAACACTGTATAACTATTAAAAAAATTTTAAAAGCATGAACATTTATTTGATATTGATATTGACAGTTTATTCAGCCAGAATACAGATAGTCAATCGAAAATCATAATATTAACATGGCTGAGCCAGTTGAGAGCCTGAGCTCTTATAGGCAAAAACTTTCAGAAGCATCACCACTCTTATACTGTATGTGTAACACAGACTGAGCGTAAAAATAGCCGAATTCGTCCATACATTAAACATTTACTTTAATCCAGACAAACTCTTTTTTCTTGCTGTAATCACCATTAAATTCTCAATAATTTTTTCATTAGTAGTGAAGATTCCATACAGTCTGGTGCAGAGCTAAGTCATTTCCTTGAATACTGTACAGTATGCCAAGCTGTTTTCATTACTAGTGCTGGAGGGGCAACCCGTAAAATCTTTAAAAAATTTAAATTATATTTCAGGATGTTTTTCATATTCTACAGGAGCAGTAATTGTATAAAGGAGTAAAGTAAATGGATAAAGGATATTATTCACAGGTACAGCTGCGTCAGATATCTTAACGCACGTACAGCTCACTCAACTGTAATTCCGAGTGATTAAAACTAATCTTTTGTAATAAATAAAACTATATATTAATTTAATAATTTTATTATTTATAATAGGTACTTTTAACTGTACAAGATTGCCGTCTGACTTTGGAGTTCAGAGTGTACACACAAACATGATCAGTTGTACCTGGATGCTACACTATCAATCAAGCACAGGGATTGAGCAACTCCAGGTACAACTGAGCAAAGCAAATATGACGTGCCAATCAAATTTGACCCTTACAGTATATCAATAAGGATAACCGAGTTTTAATAAAGGAAAATAAAACTCAAACTTAATAGGTAAGGTTCATGGTTACTGGTGTTGCCATATATTAATGGGTTAAATGCCTCACAATGGTCATACCACGGTGACATGAACTACAATCTGACCATCACAAGCCAGAAGAGCATATGCTTTTTCTCAGTAAGCTGCTAAAATTATATACTTTAAATAGCACTGTATATGACGAAAATAATAACTACATATCTAATAAAATACTGAGGGCTCTTAGAAAATATTTTTACGGTAAAAACATGACTGCAATTTTTTTGTTTTTTGTTTTTTTGATCGGCACACCACAGACGGGCATTTTCATTCATTACAGCACATATTTAATTGGCCATTAGCATCATCAAGTACCAGGATGCAAAAGGGGCACAAGTAGCAACTGGATTAGATTTGGGCAGTAGCAAAAAAAAAAATAAATAAATACAAAATAAAACAAAACCAACCATGATATGCAGCGATATGGTAATTTCCGCACCAGTGACAACAAGCTTATCCAAACTTATTCCACTGAGTTACACCAATAACCTGTGTTCAAATCACAGCACACTTGACTTGCAAGGCATCTACATCCCACTACTGGTTGCCAAACTCTATGTCTAGCTACCCAAATCTAATCTTGACTACTTAGACAGTTAACAAAAGAAAAGAGGAAAAAATAGAAAAAAAATACGAGTGACATAGAAATTCTTCCCTACTTTATAAAAAGAAACTTAAATAGATAATATACATTATTATCACATGGCCAATCATGGTCAAGCATAAGGTGTGACTGGACTTTTTATATGTGATGGTATATTGTGAACAAAAATGTAAAATGAATAACAAATGCTCACTGTTCCATGTATGACCATGTTAGCTAGAAATCAACGCTTAGACTGTGGCGATTCCTCACACAATATGTTGTCCACATTAGACTGATGGTAGGAGTTGTGGGCTGTGAACCCTGATAAAAAGAGGACATGCAGTCAATATACTGTACAACACTTAACTACCAGTTCCATATATTACTGATAAGCTGTATTAACATGACATTCTTCTCTCCTTCCACTTTGGTGAGCAGATTTCAACTGTTGAGGCATTATGTTCCTCACTATGACTTAGTAGGAAGGCAAGAAACACCACTCTAACCACTATGGTGTTCATGGAGTTTTCTTAAAAATGTCTACATTTATACTTGCAAGTTTGGGTGGGGGAAATAGCTACAATTGATAAATAATGGGAATGACATTACAATGTGCAAATGATACCAATTAACAAATGAAAATCAGTTTATAGAATTACAATAAATTTCATCAAAGATAAATGAGCTCTTATCCTGAGGTCCTCTGGGTGAAGTGCTCTGCAAATGAGCAGCCTGAAAGGAGCCTCATGTGATTCTAAGATGCACGAATAAACAATAGTTTTGATGATGAGGATTTTACATACAAAAAATCATCACACAGTCAATAATGAGTACCATTATGGTTTTGAATCTCAAAACCTGACACAGACGAAGTAACTGAGGAGTGACTAAGTTTCCATAATTAGCTGACTTTATATTTTTTTGAAGTTGAGACCCATGCATAAATTTGAACCCAGGAATGTTGCAATCTTCAAGTCCAATGGGGAAAAGTGAGCTACCAGCAGCTGGGTATCATAACTTACACTAGCATCACATTGTTCCACCTGAAAGAAAAGAAAACCTAGTCACTGGTATTTAAAAACAAAAATCATCACATCCTTGCAAAGTCTTAACAGGCAAACATATCCAAACAAACAGGAAACTGAATGGCAGCAACAAGGGAAAAGTGAGCTACCAGCAGCTGGGTATCAAAACTTACACTAGCATCACATTGTTCCACCTGAAAGAAAAGAAAACCTAGTCACCGCTATTTGCAAACATAAAATTATCACAACCTGGCTAATCACAACTTGACAAACATATCCAAACAGAAAGAAAATGAATGGCAGAGTGAGTGCAGCCAGAGTTAGACCCAGGTACAAGCTCCAGACATGGCAGATGTTTGTACATAATGCTGACATAATCTTAATATGTGTGGATTGCAAAGTCAAATCAAAATACCAAATTCTTAAAACATTTGGTAATAATTAATTTAATTGCTTGGGAATAATAGAAGACTTTATATTTATGTATAGTACTGTACTGTACTAAATTTCACAATGCAGTAATACTGTACACCCGCTAAAAAGTTATTCGGCACCCGTGTCATATTGTATCACGCCGAATAACTTTTTAGTGGGTGTACATGATACTTGTACACACACACACATGCACGATACATACATGTACACCCACTAAAAATTTATTCGGCACCTTTACGGCGTGATACAATATGACACGGGTGCCGAATAATTTTTTAGCGAGTGTACAGTATTCAGCCACACATCACCATTGGTAATATCTATAGCCACCACATTTGTCCACTATCCAGCAAGGTGCAGTGTGTTTCATGCATTCCTACTCCTACACACCATCATCCACCTCTTATCAATGTCCATATACTGTGTACTGTACCTGTAAAATAAATCAAAACTGTCCCCCCACCTATAATAAGCTCAGGTTTTTGTATTGCCAAGCTCAATAATGTACAGTATATTAAATTTAGTGGAATAACTGTCTCCTCCATAATGTTATCCACTACAATTTATATGCATATACAGTACAGTAGAGCGTCAATTTAAAGCAATTCAATTTAAGATTATTGATTTAAAGCGACACTCACAACTAAGGACAATGTTTTAATTTAAAGCGAATCTTTCCTATCTTGCGCGAGTCAATTTGGCGCATCATATTTTAAAATTCGCACCTAATGTTTCTCTGGGCATGTTACACTGCCTTAAGGGCAAAGCTGTACTGTACATGTACAGTACTCAAAATAATGTAATAAATTTTTGTCTAGTGCAAACTACAGCATGATTATATTCAAATTAATCACTATCTTATAAGAATTCCAGCAGTGTAAATTATATCCTCCCCAGTCACTTCTGTAACATTTTATAAACAAAAAACTAAAATATTTACATCATTGAACAAAGTTGGAAGGGTGGTGGTGTAGGTAGTGGCAGAAGTTACCTTATAACAGGTAAATATAAAAATAATGTACACAAATCTAATTACATGAAATGTAATTAAGTACAGTACAGTAAACCCTCGGAGATCTGGATCCGGATTTCGGAAGATCTGGACAACAAAACTTGGGGTTCTGGGCTAAGAAGCCTCCTAGAAGTTTCCCTAAGATACATTCCCAAACCAGAGCAAAGAATATTTTAGGCCCGTGGGCGCTGCTTGACCCGTCAGTTGCTTGGACACAGGTGCCCGAGGAGGTGGGAAACAAAAACAGAGTTGACGATTGTTGTTTGTGGGAATATTATTTCATTCACTCAAGTAATGATACAATGTTTCTTATTATGTTACATAGGTAAATTCATGGTTTACATACGGTAATTTGTTTATCACTACATTAGTACTGTATTTTTGGTGTTTTTTATATCATTTATAATTTGGACAATTGGCTAGGTGGTCCCCCCTTTTAGTCCGGATCTTTGAGGGTTCATTGTACATCATAAAAAAATCATACGGCATTATCCAATCGTCAGCTGAGAGGGTTGTTTAATATTATTAGCAGCAGCAACTATGTAACCATCATACACCAGTTCTGCTTCTCCAAAACAGTTATGAACTAAATTAATTTGTAGTGGAAATTACAGGACTTACCGTATATACTTGTGTATAGTTCGCGTTATTAAGACAAAATTTTTAGGCAAAAAATTGGGGGTCGACCTCTACATGGGTAATAGTTTCGTTAGGTTGAATCCGTGCATGATGGGAAGGGCTAGGAGCAACATTTAGCTTTAGACATGAAAAATATTTACCAGTTACTGCCAGTAAACAATGGAAACGTAAGATATGTACCAATTAGTAATGAAAAGCTGTGCAGTGCCTTCAGCAGATGAAGCTCACCAACTTACAATAGGCTAACTTACCTTACAATGTGCTTCCAGTAGTCTATGTTGAAGTTCTTAGCACTGGCTAACTTATCATATCATATACGGTATCACAATACCCATTGATCTACAAAAAATACCAGTAATAAAAACCTTTTCGATATTTCACACTTAATATAATACCCGGTAATCCACCTCATATTGTTTACAACGATGCACGACACACCACCAGCTGTTGAGTGTCGGCACAGTTGCCGTATCAGCTAGATGGTACGTGTTTTTTTTAATCATTTTCAGTTAAAAAACTGTTACAACACAAGTATTTTTACCTTAACTGCGCCTGAATGAATATATTCTCAGAAATAAATAGTAGTTTTGCTGAAACGTGATGTATTTCAATGTAAAATAGGATAAAATACAGACGAAAACAAAAGACTTTACCTAACCTTCCGATGTTCAAAAGATGTTACTCATTTTTTTTAATAGCTTTCAGTTAAAATACTGTTATATTACAATGATATTCTATTCATACTGTGCTTGATATAATACATTCACGGAAATGTAATATTTTTGCTGAAATGACGTAAGTATTACAGTGGAAAGTGGGATAAAATCATGACGAAAACAATCGACTTTCGCTTTCTTTCAATGTTCAAAAGATGTTACCGTAATAGCTTTTCGAATGGTTTTCAGTTAAAAAAACTGTTGTATTACAATAATATTCCCTCCTAATTGACTTGAATAAATACTTGAATGGAAATATACAATATTTTTGCTGAAACTACCCGCGTTTCAGTGTAAAGTGCCGTAATAATAAATGGTAAACAATTTGCCTTCTGCACTCGGTGTTTCAGGCACGGCAAGCCTCAGTTTATAGGACGTAGAGTGTTTTTAGTGAAGGTTTTCTGAAATGAGTTTTATATGCCATAAAATATGGTGCTTTATTACCCTAATTTGTTGTTCCATTACCCTCAAAAACTTGGGTCGACCTATACACGAGGCATATCATAAATTAATGATTTCTTGGTAAAAAATCAGGGTCGCCCTATAGATGAGTATATACGGTATTAACCAAGGTGTTCAGAGTGGTTAGTGAGAAGCAGGTCTATGATGAGCATTGGCGGAGCACTCACAAGGGTTGAGATAGTATGTGATGTTAGCACACCAGTTTACAGTAGTGTACTTGGGTAGTTAACACTGCATTGGTACATCAGTATTAACTTAATCATGGATTAACTACTGTGCTCAGGTAAGAATAATAATGCAAAATGATAAATCTTTCTGTTTCAAAATGTGATGTAATGTACTGTACTGGGGTAATAACATGACTTCTTCACATCATGGTGATGTGTTACTTGTGCTTGTAACACACCAGCATGTCTTATACAATAGTATTGTACTCTCTTTTTATTTATTGTAAGGTTTACAGAGGCTTTACGATCATGGTAAGTCACTGCTCTATGAAACTAATGTCCGTTTTCACAAAATTCAGCATTTGCAGGCCATAAGCTAAGCCTTAAGCAAGTGTGTCCAGATACAAACAATGGTATCCTACTACAAAGCTCAGAAGTGCAATACTGTACTGCTCTGTTTCTCATGGTGTCGTAAGTATGTGCCCGGTAACGAGGGGTAACCACAAGACAGTAGTATCCATGTATATCTGTACGTATCAGTAATGAAGTCAAAACTGACTACGAACAAGACTGTTTACAATTTTTGCCTTTCTGGACCACTTGAAGATTAGACCCCCCCCCCAATATAGTTTCAGGTGGTCAAACATCAGCCTGGTTAAGCAGGGGGGGGGGGGGGCAAAACTTTAAGTAAGGACTCGGGGGCTAGTCTTCAGGTGATCCATAAAAGGACGGTCTAACTACATTACTGGTATGTATGTGTATACAACCAGGGCCGGATTCAGGAGTGGGCAAAGTGGGCAGCTGCCCAGGGGCCTCCACATATTACAATATTTTATTTATTTGTTTATTCATTTGGATTATTTTTATTTTCATTCTTTAAAATTCATGTTCGTCTATAAATATACAGTTAATTAAAAATTTCTCAATGTTCTAATTTCCTCAATATAACTGCATATGGCTTCAAAATTCTCCAAAGAAGTGTTCAAATTTCAAAATTTTCCCGGGGGACTTACAGCCCCGAAACTCCCAGATGTTTAGGCTCGCTTCACTCGCCACCCCACCCTCTTGGGTAGTTATAATGAGGGGGGAGCCTCCACAAGAGGCTGCTCATGGGCCTCCACAGGTCTAAATCTGGCACTGTATACAACTATACATATTACATATATACAGAATGCTTAAGGAAGTCCATCAAAGTCAATGACGATACAGAATATACGAAAGGAGACAGCATAGCTGGCACTACACTCTATTGCCTTTGTTTCCCTTACGGGAAAGTTGTTAACCAATCTGCAGTAGGGTCAACTGGAGGCACCCCAGCAAGTGGCCTGCTGTTGAAATTGAACTGGCAACCATTGTGTCAGGCGGAAAATGTTAAATCCACTCACCTGCCATACCTCCAATGAACAGATTATGTCAAATAATTTCCCTACCTTTCTTGATGCATCTACACCCACCATTCCTTAGAAATTTATAATACTGAATATTAATATGTTGTCAATACTTCCTTACCTGTGCAAAAGGTGATCACTTGCAACAGCCAGCAGTACCCTGTGCTGGTTGGTTATTTGACAGGCTTACATCACCCCTAGGAGAACCACTGGCATTACTGTCACTCTTTGGGAGTTTCTTAGCTGAAAATTGTATTAAATAATTAGTACAGAATACATACAATATCACATGAACTACAATCAAATTTTAATTTTTTCTCATTCAACACATGAGGAGCTTCACATTAAATTGAATCTTGCTTTCTAACATATATCCCCTACAGCAAAAACCCATTGTAAAAATCAAGCAGGTAGTCCCCAAACCCAAGTTTGTGACTCTGGTAATTTGCAGATATTTCTTTATCCTCATTTTGAGCTACAGTATTACACTTACAGTATAGTGTGAATACAGTTACTTTATTTATTATTGTTAGATAATTGGATCTGGTTAATCATTAAGCACAAATTACTCATTGTGAACAGTTATAAAAATGAGGAACTAATCTTGAAGTCACTTTTCATAACCAAGCAAATAACACAACTCACGTACAGTACAGTCAATAAGTGAATAGTTTGTTGGACAAGGCACCCACAAACCCTGACATTTGTGACCTGGAATTCCAAAACTTCCAAATAAATAATCTATTTCTGAGTTAAACAAGGCCAAAGCACATTTACTATTACTCATTAAATCTGATATCTAGTATTACCTTGATTTAACCAACTAATTCGAGCCACCTCTTTCCGTTAAATCGAAATTTCCACTAAATCAACTTGATTCCATTAAATTCCTCGCCAAATGAGCTGCTTGGCTCATAGGGCTTGTTAACATCCGCTCAGTCTGTGTCCTGCCGCCGCTGTGTGTGTGTGTTGTTCACTGCTACCTCTCGATCAACTAACTACAGTCGACCCTCGTTAATTCGGACTAATAGGGGGGGAAGGGTGTCCGTTCTAGCCGAATGTCCGAATTAATCGATTTAGGGGTTAATATTGCATTATATTTCAAACACATTGTTTTCGTCACAATTTTATCCCACTTTCCACTGTAATACGTACGTAATTTCAGCAAAAATATTACATTTCCATTAATGTATTATATCAAGCACAGTATGAATAGAATATCATTGTAATATAACAGTATTTTAACCGAAAACTAATAAAAAAACGAATATCTCAAGAACATCGAAAGCTTAGGTAAAGTCTTTTGTTTTCATCATGTATTTTATCCTATTTTACATTGAAATACATCACCTTTCAGCAAAACTACTATTTATTTCCGAGAATATATTCATTCAGGCGCAGTTTAGGTAAAATATACGTGTGATGTAACAGTTTTTTAACTGAAAACGATTCGAAAAACACGTACCCTCTAGCCCTGTTCAAGGAGAGGACAGGGAGAAGCTGTTTGGTGCTGCAGACGATGACAAGGAAAATGATTTGGATGGATTTTAATGAAAATATTCAGAAACATGGTATCGTAGTATTTATTCAAGTCAATTAGGATAGAATATTATTGTAATACAACAGTTTTTTTAACTGAAAACCAATCGAAAAGCGATTATGGTAACATCTTTTGAACGAAAGAAAGCAAAATTCATTGTTTTTGTCACGATTTTATCCCACTTTCCACTGTAATACGTACGTCATTTCAGCAAAAATATTACATTTCCGTGAATGCATTATATCAAGCACAGTATGAATAGAATACCATCGTCATATAACAGTATTTTAACCAAAAACTATTAAAAAAACGAGTAACTTCTCTTGAACATCGGAAGGTTAGGTAAAATCTTTTGTTTTCGTCATGTATTTTATCCTATTTTACATTAAAATACATCACGTTTCAGCAAAACTACTATTTATTTCCGAGAATATATTCAATCAGGCGCAGTTTAGGTAAAATATACGTGTGATGTAACAGTTTTTTAACTGAAAACGATTCGAAAAACACGTGTACCGTCTAGCTGATACTCAACAGCTGGTGGTGCGTCATGCATCGATGTAAACAATAGGAGGTTGAAGTAGATTACCGGGTACTATATTAAGTGTGAAATATCAAAAAGGGTTTTATTACCGGTATTTTTGTAGATCAATGAGAACTGTGATACCGTATATGATATGATAAGTTAGCCTGTGCTAAGAACTTCAACATAGACTACTGAAAGCACGTTGTAAGGTAATTTAGCCTATTGTAAGTTGGTGAGCTTCATTTGCTGAAGGAACTGCACAACTTTTCATTACTAATTGGTACATATTTTATGTTTCCATTGTTTACTGGCAGTAAATGGTAAATATTTTTCATGTCTGAAGCTAAAAGTTGCATCCCCCCCTCCACCACACTAGTGGTGGAGATGTTACATTTAACCAAAAAGACGCTGGTGTTTTATCCCAGCAGTGGGTGGACCAGCATTTTAGCTTAAGGTCCGCGTAGGTAATATTCCTACAAAAAAAAAAAAAAAAGTTCAGATTTTGTACGAATTATCCAAAATCCGGATTAAAGGGGTCCGAATTAATGAGGGTCGACTGTACTGTGCTTAGACATCATGCCGAAAGTCTCTCAGAAGTCTCAGAAAGGAAGTGGTGTGGGGGAGAAAATAAAAGTGAGTGCAGCTACCAATTGGGAAGTTTGAAAATTATAGAATTGAAAACAAACACCAAACCTCATAGCTTAAGGTAAGTCATGAATAATGTTTCTATGTACATATCATGTGTCTGAGGTGTCTCCGTAGGGTTTTTTTTACAGGAAATAGCCCACCCGGCACAGGTCATCAACCCATAAATGGGGAGGGAGGATAAGAGGAAAAAGAAATTAAAAATAGAGAAGAAAAAGGTTATATTAATCTACACCATGAAGATGCCGGAGAACCAGCTTTTTGAAGTGAGACAGATTGTGAGTATGGAAACACAGAAAAAGGCAGACCACTCCACAGTTTGGCTGTGTGAGGAAAGAAGGATGTACTATAACGGGTTATTCTAGTGTGACCGACAGCCACAGAGAAATGGTGGGCACCACGTGAAAGACAAGTGTTATGAGCCCATAGACTTGCCGGTGGTACACAGGATGCCAAATCCACAGAACATTGCCCGTTAAAATACCTGTAAAAGAGAGAGAGTGAAGCAACTTTGCGGAGAAGAGAAAGGAAAGAAAGATTATCAACTAAAGGAGGAGAGTCAATAAGATGAAATGCCTTTGATTCCACTCAAACAGCAGACAGAAGAAGAGCCACCCCAGATATGAGAGCAGTACTCCAAGTTAGGACGAATGAATCCCTTATAAACTTGAAGCAACTGCTCAGGAGTGAAGTAGCTATGGCATCTGTACAGCATTCCCAGCTTTCGGGAGGCAGCTTTAGCAATGTTGTGGTTACGTGGTTTCCATGACATATTAGAGGAAATGGCGAGGCCTAGTATGTCTATTTTAGAACCTGGCAGAATGATTGCGTCCTGAAATGTGATTGGTGAGAGATCATCTAATTTGGAAAGTGTAATCGATAAATACCGAGTTTTATTATTATTGAATTTAACCAAGTTTCTACCTTCCCATTCGGAGATGCTGAGCATATTTAAGGAATTAATCTTGATTTAGCAAACTAGCTCACTAAATTGAGTGAAAAATAACGGAAAAATTCCTTACGCTAAATCAAGAGTTCGTTATATCGGATTCCGTTAAATCGAGAGTATACTGTACATATGTAACGAGATGAAATCTTACCTATTGCCAAGAAAATATCATTAACATTCATAGCAGTCTTAGCAGACGTCTCCATGAAAAGCAGGGAGTTCTCTTCTGCATACGTCTGAGCTTCCTCATATTCCACCATCCTTTTATTGGCTAAATCTGCTTTGTTGCCTGCTAAAGCAATCACAATGTTGGGGGATGCCTGTCGTTGAAGTTCCTTCACCCAGGTCTTGGCTCGACCAAATGTGTCCTGTAAATAAAATCCAATTAGAATTGTTTTCTTAAGAAATCAGTGCACAAACCCAAACTATTGCCAAGTCTCACATAATATAAAATTTACCACAGCCTCAACAATCATTCTCTTACTTGATTTGTGATATCATAGACGACAATCGCTGCTTGAGCACCACGGTAATACATAGGAGCTAGACTGTGGTACCTTTCTTGCCCGGCTGTGTCCCAAATCTCAAATTTTACTGTAGTGTCATCCAAACATACTGTTTGCGTCAAAAAGGCCGCTGCAAAATATAAGATACCTCTAAATGATATGTCACATACAAAAAAATATGCATTATAAAACAATGGTTATAAAATGTCAAAATATACACCTCCCCCCCAAGACACCAACTTTACTTCTATACCACTGTTTAATATACTATTTCATGTGATTCAAATTACTGTACACTTCAAGTTAGTCTTCTCTTGTGTCTACTTCAGTCATACTATGTACTTTTCCCTATCCTTTCTGACAACAACAATTTAACTACAGTAAACCCTTGTTATTAGGTTCCAAGGAATGGCGTGATTAGGCAAAACCGTGAATAGCAACTTACACTACCTTGGTGCACTACTGTATACCTATACCAAACAACTGACCAGCTGTGACAGCACTCATCCCCTCTTTTAACTTATCTAATAATTCAACTTTCTTTTTCAGGGTCATCACTGACTTCTGCCTTTTATATTTCACTCCACTTGCACTGACATATTAGGCAGTCTTTTAGGGTCCATTTCACACAGAAACACTAAAGTTTTGAAAGTACAACGGGAGATGCTGCATGGTGTGACTCGTTGTGCTGAGGGGAAAGGCTCGCAAGCTAGACACCATCTGCTTACCGCGAATTGTCGAAATTGCTAATGACAAGGGTCTACTGTACATTGTCTAAAACCAATTTGTTACCGCTTTTCATGATAACCAATTATTACAAAACCACGAGTGATAGACCATCAATTAATATTAAGGTCTTATTTTTTGTAGCAGTATACAGTACTGTACTGTATACATCAAAATGTACCTGTAAATGCAATCATCAAGACCTCATCAAGTACTGCACCCCTCATTTCCAAATTTAATTATGCGTACGTACTATATAATGTGTTAACAGTACAAATTTTTTTGTCAATCAAAGCCCCTTCTTTAATAGCTATTCTTTTACTCATTAAATAAGTTGTTGAGTCATTAACTTAACCATAATAATACTGTATAGAATAAATAAAATGGGCACTTACCACCAATAGTAGATTCTTGATATTCATGAAATTGACCCTTAACAAATCTTAAAACAAGAGAGGACTTTCCAACTGCAGATTCTCCCAACAACACCAGCTTGAATTGGCAAATCTTGCCTTGGCCGCCACCACTGGGTCGCTGAGCAGCTCCTCTCTGTGCCATCCTCACTTATCTGGAGAGAAAAGTACACTTGAATTTCCTCTGGTTTTGAACTACATTAATAGTACACTAAATAACTTTGTCACCTTCATTTGTTGTAACAAAGATAATATGCAAAAATCCACAGGACAGTTTCCTGTATCTTGAAAATCAATTGATGTTTATTGTATCATTTAAACAATAAATAATAAACAAATCAATGCATTAAGTATATATTTTCCTTTTCTTCAGGATTAATAGTTGTGTCCTTTGAGCAGCCATGCTTAACCAACTCACATAATTGGAAACCTGCAAAGTGCACACATGATTCACCTGGTACACAGGAACCTGCTGTCCTCAGCCACAAGTTATTTTAGAAACCCAAGAAAGGAAGGCCAGCTATTACTATACAGTATTATAAACACAATATGTTAGCAGTTTTGAAGATCAAATTCTTTAACTGTTACAAGTAAACAAAACACCAAATGCAATTCCTAATTCTTTAATAAATCACATATAAGATGACTGAACTTTCATTTTGACCCCAAAATTCTCAAAGAAACACATGTTAATTTACACCATAAAAGTATTTAATTATAGAGTCCTATTCCAGTATTAAATTGTATTAAAAAAAAAAAATTATAATATATATATTATGAACCCACGAACCCACGAGCCCATGACTGTGACCGGGGAACACTAACCGCTGGACCACCAGGATACTATAAGCAGTCCTAGACTCTGTTATATTTCACACAACGCCTGTTCAACGAGCTTATGGCGCCGTGAACCCCGGTCACAGTCATGGGCTCGTGGGCCGTGGGTTCGAATCTTGGCGGGTTGAGGTGTTGATTGTATGTAGAAGTCCGAGTGTTTATTGGGCTAATGAAATATATATGGAACCTCGTGTTTCGAAGCCGGATTTGGTAAAACGTTACTCTGACCACCTACGTGATACGGGTAGTCCCCATTAGAGGTTCACGGCGCCATAAGCTCGTTGAACAGGCGTTGTGTGAAATATAACATAGTCTAGGACTGCTTATAGTATCCTGGTGGTCCAGCGGTTAGCATTCCCCGGTCATAGTCATGGGCTCGTGGGCCGTGGGTTCGAATCTTGGCGGGTTGAGGTGTTGATTGTATGTAGAAGTCCGCGTGTTTATTGGGCTAATGAAATATATATATATATATATATATATATATATATATATATATATATATATATATATATATATATATATATATATATATATATATATATATATATATATATATATATATATATATATATATATATATATATATATACACAGCTAGACCCCGACTTACGACTACGTGGACTTACGTCCATTGGTACTTACGACCTGCTTTGACCGTATGTCCATACGGGACATACGACTGCGACCGTCGTGACCAAAATTTTTTTCAAATGACGCGCGCATTTTCTATACCGAAACGTTTCCGTCCCGGGCGAGAGGGAGGGGTGTCTTGGGTCGCCTCGTGGGTACACTCACTCATTGGAGCGCTTTGTTTGTGTTTGGCTATCGTATCCTATACTGATCGCGCTGTGAACTTTCGTTATTATCGTATTTAATTGACTTTATAATGACTGGAAAGCGTAAAAGTGAGAGTGCTGGTGGTGCTCCAAGGAAAAGGAGACAGGCAATTACTTTTGAGATGAAACTGAAGATAATAACACAGTATGAGAATGGAAAAACAGTAGCAACAATCTCACGCGACCTAGGTTTCTCACACTCGACTATATCCACTATTCTGAAGGACAAGGAACGTATTCGTGAAGTAGTGAAAGGAACAACACCTATAAAGGGAACTATAATATCAAAGAAAAGACAAGGTCCTATCCACGATATGGAAAAATTATTGGTGATATGGATAGAAGACCAGATACAGAAGCGTGTACCCTTAAGTGTTCTAACCATACAGGCTAAAGCAAGAAGCCTGTTCCAAAGCCTGAAGGAGCAGGCAGGAGATGAATGTGATCAAACCTTTACAGGAAGTCATGGGTGGTTTGATAGATTTAAAAAACGCTACAGTCTACACAATGTTAAGGTGAGTGGAGAGGCAGCTAGTGCCGATGTTGGTGCTGCCGAAGCTTTTAAGGAGGAGTTAGATGATGTGATTGTGGAAGGGAATTATTTGCCTGAGCAAATATTCAATGTGGATGAGACTGGATTATTGTGGAAACGCATGCCTGAGCGGACATACATCCACAAAGAGGCAAAAAAAATGCCCGGATTCAAGGCATTCAAGGACAGAATTACACTTCTGTTGGGGGGGAATGTTGCTGGTTTCAAGCTAAAGCCCTTCATGATCTATCATTCAGAGAACCCCAGGGCTTTTAAACATGTCAGCAAGCACACACTGCCAGTGTTTTATCGCAGTAACAAGAAAGCCTGGATGACCCTAATACTGTTTGAGGATTGGTTCATGACTTGTTTCATTCCACGAGCCAAGGAGTATTGTCTGCAACAAAGGATTCCATTCAAGATTTTACTGATTTTGGATAATGCTCCGGGACACCCACCACACCTGGACGACATGCACCCTGATGTTAAGGTAGTGTACATTCCACCTAACACTACCTCTATCATCCAACCCATGGATCAAGGTGCTATTGCTGCCTTTAAAGCATATTATTTACGCACGACCTTCGCTCAGGCTGTTGCTGCTACTGAAGGTGAGAAAACGCTCAGACAGTTTTGGAAGGAGTACAACATTTTGTCATGTATAAAGAACATTAGTACAGCATGGGATCAGGTTACAAAACATTGCATGAATGGAATATGGAAGAAAATCCTGAAAAGATATGTGCACAGTTTCAAAGGATTTAATGAAAATGAAGTTATTTTGGATATTAGTAACAAGATAGTGGACTTAGGTAAACAGCTGGAGTTAGAAATTGATACTGAAGATGTTGGACAGTTGGTTGAAAGTGTAGCAGAAGAGCTCAGTAACGAGGATCTTATTGAACTAGATGCACAGAAAGTTGCAGAGGAAGAAGAGAGACAAAATGTAGAAGAGCCTGCACCCCCCAAAAAGTTTTCAGTGAAACATATGGCAGAGGCATTTGCTACAATTAATAAAGGAATGCAAATGTTTGATGACATGGATCAAAATTATGAGCGTTATGCCAAAGTTGACAGAATGGTCCAAGATGCACTTGCTTGCTACAGAGAAATTTATAATGAAAAGAAAAAGCAAACTGTGCAGTCTAAATTGTCCATCTATTTCAAGAAGTCCCCCAGTACTGGCTCCTCATGCCCCAACAGTGCTGCCTCTTCACTCCCTCAAGATGAACCAATACCTTCAACCAGAAAGTTACCACAGTACATAAACCTGTCTGAAGGAAGCGACATTGATGACCCACCCAGCCCTGTCTCCTCTTCTGCTTCTTCCAATTAAAATAGTCTCCATGTATCCTGTAAATAGAAAATCATGGGGGCCCCGTGTGCATTCAGCTGACTACATTTAAGGTAAGTGCTCAGTCACACTGTATCCATTCCTCATTATTTATTACTTTTACTGTACTGTATCCGTTCCTCATTATTTTTTACGTTTAGTGTACTGTATTTCATTGTAGATTTTAAATAAAAAAAAAATGAATTTTTTTTTATTTTTTTTTATTTTTTTATCTATGGACGATGACCATGTCGTACGACCTGGATTTAGTCCCTAACCTGTCAGAAGTCGGGGTCTAGCTGTAATATATATATATATATATATATATATATATATATATATATATATATATATATATATCTATCTTGATAAAATCACACGGAAAATGGGAAACAACGGAGTACCTTAGCTTTCGTCTTTATTCAAGACATCTTCAGAGGCAACTGGATTACATGGACAGAGAGAGGCTTAAATATACAGGGTGACCTTAAAACATGGTCAGGTCATAATGATGTCATCCACTAATCCCCACACCAACACACACGTAGAGGAGCTTAAGAGAAGGGGTTGACGTGACTAGTCAGGTCAGGTAAAAAATAAGCACCACAAAATTCTCACTTTTAAGCTTGCCAGCCATTTTAAAGTGAATTACAGATGAAAATTTTGTCTGTGTACTGACTTTGGGACTCGAAAATACATAATTTGACCAAATCTTTAGTATATATGAGCTGTGTGTATATATATATATATATATATATATATATATATATATATATATATATATATATATATATATATATATATATATATATATATATATATATATATATATATATATATATATATATATATATATATATATATATATATATAGTATATATATATATATATATATATATATATATATATATATATATATATATATATATATATATATATATATATATATATATATATATATATATATATATATATATATATATATATATATATATACTCCATGTACTGTATATACATATGTACCCCCTTGTATACAGGTTTTTGCATCTTGTTGCTCACCTATGGGTTTTATTCCCTTGATTTACAGTTTGTAATCCAAGTTGAATTACGATGGCAACAAAACAGGAGAAAGCTTATGTGTCACCGTACAACCATTCATTGTTTTGTCTGCCTCCACATTAGAGTTTAATTATGCGTAACTTCCCTGACAAGAACTTTTCTGGCAGATGGACTGGATGTGATGGGTCTGTCCTGGCCCTCCATGGTCTCCTGATATTACACACTTAGACTTCTTCTTGTGGGGTCATGTCAAAGATTAAGTTTTCCACATCTCAGTTGCTGACATTGAACCAATTCACACAAGAATAACCGAAGGCATGAGAAGAGTGATCAAGGATATACAGTGGTCCCTCGGTTAACAAACACAATTCGTTCCAGAAGGTCATTCGTTAACTGAAACCATTGTTTCAATGGGATTTTGGGTAATTGGTTCCAGCTCACCGAAAATTACATGCAAACTAAAAATAAATGCAGTAAAATACACTTACTTTGAGGTGTGCATGTAGAAGGCTCCTGGTTGATGATGATGATGGGAATTAGAATGGGGGTGGAGGAGAA